GAAAAATGACAAGGAAAGGGTGAACTTTGAAGTGCTGAGAGGTGAATTTCATCAATTATATAAGAATTTCCGTCGCAATCTCATGCAATCCCGGAGACTTTTCTAATGTCATGCCTGTGATTGCTTTCGCTGCCTCGCTCGTGGATGGCGGCGTGGAACTAAGCTAATAAGTTCTGCTTCACTCGCAGCTTCAAGGGATAGATCACAAGTGCTTCTAACTGCCTCTTCCATCCATAACTCATCTTTGAGGGCTGCTGATGACTCTGGTGCGAGCTGTGTGTAGCTAGAATCTGAGGTATGAGACACTGTTACAGTATGACACCATGTTAAAAAGTAGGGATGCACCGATACCGTTTTTTCAGTATCGAGTACAAGTACAGATATTTTGCTTTCAGTACGCGCCAATACTGAGCACCGTTTCCGGTGCTTCTACTGGCATGGAGTCGGCTTCCCGGGCAATCAGGAAGTCAGGCGGCAGGTACTGACATGCCGCCTGGCTTTCTGATTGCCTAGGAAGCTGGCTCCATGATGTTTGGCCGGCTTGATTGTGATTGGCAGGGGAACCGTCTTCCCAGCCAATCAGCATCAAGCCTGCTTCCCGGCCAGTCAGGAAGCCGGGCAGCGGGCTCGATGCTGACTGGCTAGAAAGCCAGCTTCCCAGTCAATCAGGAAGCTTGGAGGCAGGTCATTACTCGCTGCCCGGCTTCCTGATCGAACGGGAAGCCGGCTCCATGTTCCCCTACAGCACTGCCGGTCAGAGGAAACACCCTCCTATTATTAACATGCCTCAGATTTTACCACACTAGTACAACGAGCATGTTTATAAAGGCAGAGGGGTGGGACCGGTGTCCTTCAATGGCTCCTAGAACAGTACAGAATGTACAAAAATCCAATGTTCCTTCTTATCCATTGAGAGACTCAGGAAGTCTTAAACCTTCAGCGCATCCAAAAGCCGTTCATCTGAGGTATGAGCAACAAGTGTAATACACGCACACGCACTCTTTATTTAACCTTACCTACGTTACTATGTAAATACCTATTGATCCTGACAGAAGCCCAGGAAGCCAATAACGTCATGTGCTCTCTGCCTATGCAGCACTCTTATCAGTTATATGGTTCCCAGCTACCTTTGATGACTACATAGCCAGGTGTTCTGTTTTCCTGTGCCAGGGTGACAACACTTCTCCTCCATTGATCCAGTACAGTGCGGGGGTGTTGTATGAGCATGGACACTCTAGGATCAGAAGGGTGGGAATGGCAGGATCGCCTGGTGGGAATAAAAGAGAGAAAGTTCATGCGGTGGCCAAATCTAACGATTGCTAAGCTGCAATATTATTTTTCTGCTGTTGGCTTTAGATATGATTTACGTTCATTCATATGAGCCTAATGAGCCTGAACAGGAGACCCGCAGAGGGTTGAAGGTTGGGGCGAATCCTTGCTGGTCTATCTAGAGAACGGAGTCCAGAAAAATAAACGAGACTCTTGGCAGGTCCTGTATACCACACCGGAGGCATCCACACAGGAACGCACAATATCTGTCCACTCATGCCGCCTGGCACGGCTCCAGCGCTCAGTATGAGCCGTATAAATAAACACAAAGCTCCTTAAGATGGATTGGAGAAGAAATCCACTTGCTCCAAATATTGCTGCTGCTGAGGTTTTTGACTCCTTCGTGCCAGAAAAGGTTGCAGTGGCGATTTTCACTTGTCTCGCTGAACAGAAAACAAGCCTGCCTGGTCAACCACGCACATTGCGACAATTTTGGCAAACCTAACCTCCTGCTCTACAGAGATACACTATATTGCCAAAAGTATTGGGACACCTTTACATGCAGATTGAAATTTAATGGCATCCCAGTCTTAGTCCGAAGGGTTCAATATTGAGAGTTGGCTCCGCTCTTTGCTGCTATAACAACTTCAACTATTCTGGGAAGGCGTCCACAAGGTTCAGGAGTGTGTCTATGGGAATGTTGGACCATTTGTGAGGTCAGGTACTGATGTTGGGGGAGAAGGCCGGGCTCGCAGTCTCCGATCTAATTCATCCCAAAGGTGTTCTATGGGGTTGAGGTCAGGACTCTGTGCGGCCAGTCAAGTTCCTCCCCCCCCAAACTCCCCCATCTATGTCTTTATGGACCTTGCTTTGTGCACTGGTGCGCAGTCATGTTGGAACAGGAAGGGACCGTCCCCAAACTGTTCCCACAAAGTTGGGAGCATGAAATTGTCCAAAATGTCTTGGTGTGCTGACGCCCCATAATCCCCCCTCCAACAAACTTTACACTTGGCACAATGCAGTCAGGCAAGTTCCGTTCTCCTGGCAACCACCAAACCCAGACACGTCCATTGGATTGCCAGACAGAGAAGCGTGATTGGTCACTCCAGAGAACACGTCTCCACTTCTCTAGAGTCCAGTGGCGGCGTGCTTTACACCACCGCCTCCCACGCTATGCATTGCACTTGGTGATGTAAGGCTTGGATGCAGCTGCTCGGCCATGGAAACCCATTCCATGAAGCTCTCTACGCACTGTTGTTGGGCCAATCTGAAGGCCACACAAAGTTTGGAGGTCTGTAGCTATTGACTCTGCAGACAGTTGGCGACTTCTGCGCCCCCATTTAGCATGCGCTGACCCCGCTCTGTCATTTTACATGGCCTAGCACTTAATGACTGAGTTGCTGTTGTTCCCAGTTGCTTCCACTTTGTTATAATCCCACTAACAGGTGACCGCGGAATATTTAGTCGCAAGGAAATTTCACAGATGGACTTACTGCACAGGTGGCAACCTATCACGGTACCACGCTTGTAGTCACTGAGCTCCTGAGAGCGACCCGTTCTTTCACAAATGTTTGTAGAAGCGTCTGCATGCCGAGGTGCGTGATTTTATACACCTGAATCCAATGATTTGGAAGGGGGGAGGGCCCAATACTTTGGGCAACATAGTGTAGAAGTCTGGTGTGTGTCTACTAGAAGTACCAAGGAGGATCTTTACATCAATAACAAGGTCTCAAGTGTTGCAGTAAGGATCAAGGTGCCCCTGGTATCTATTTAGGTTAACATACTTTGTATTTTAGGAGAGCTGAAAGTCGCAGCACCATGAGCCTAAACATTTCACTTGGGATGCCATATTCCACGCCAAAAGCTGAATGAGATTTGGCCACGAGCTCCGTGCTGTCTTTGCACACCTGGAGGGACACACTGGTGGCCGCTTATCACCTGCAGATCATGCGCAGCTCATTCCCTCACCTCTTCTGCATTCGCTCGCAGTGTTTACACGCTCACCTCCGCCATCTGCTGGATGACACGTCAGCCTTGCGCTGTGCCCCTGCAGCTGCACACCTGGCTTCGATCAGTAGTGCCTAAACCCCAACTCGACTTGCAGTGGACAAGAGTAATACATTGTACTGAGGAGGACTGAGGTGATGTGTTAGAGACTTTCAGTCTGAGGCCAATTTAGAAGAAATCATTTCATAACCAGGAATACCTACATGAGCTAAATCGCATCATATTTGCCAGAAGGTCTTTAAATGAACTGGACTGGTTTTGGTGTTTTTTTATTACATAAAAAACTAAAGGCAAGACACAAAAGTCAATAATAAAAACAAACTATAAAGCAACTTTTTAGACTTTGCATTGTAAAATGACAAGTATGGGAGAAACAAAAAAAAAAGAAAATCAGTTATAGCAGAACTCCAGGCAAACAGCTACATGGCTGAAATGACTTCATGTTTAATGGTGCTGTCCTGCAATTCTATTCAGCCAATTGCAGTGACTCTGCAGCTAAGCTCACCCTGCTCCCTCTTCCAGCAGTGACTCAGGAGCTCATCTCACTAAGCTCTCACCTCCCTGTAGTGACCATGGAGCTTAGCTACCCCTTCTTCCTCTTCTCAGGAGGGACTCAGCAGCCAAGCACCCCCTCCCAGTAGTGACTATGGAGCTTAGCTACCCCTTCTTCCTCTTCTCAGGAGGGACCCAGCAGCCAAGCACCCCCTCCCAGTAGTGAACGCAGCAGCTCAGCTACCCCATCCCATTACTCAGCTCCTCCCTCCTGGTAGTGAACTCAGCCATCCCATTACTCTGCAGCTTAGCTCACCCTGCTCCCTCTTCCAGCAGTGACTCAGGAGCTCATCTCACCAACCTCTCCCCTCCCAGTAGTGACTAGGGAGCTTAGCTACCCCTACTTCCTCTTCTCAGGAGGGACTCAGCAGCCAAGCACCCCCTCCCAGTAGTGAACTCAGCAGCTCAGCCACCCCATCCCATTACTCAGCAGGTTAGCTCCTCCTTCCTAGTAGTGAACTCCGCAGCTTATCTCCCCCCATCTCGTTACTCAGCTCCCCTCTTCCAGTAGTGTCTCTTGAGCACAGCACCCCATTCAATTACTTAGCTCTCCCCTCCTAGTACTGACTCATCAGCTTAGCTCCCTTATCCCATTAGCCAGCAGCTCAGCTCCCCCCTGCCAGTAGTGACTCATCAGCACAGCTCCCTCATCCCATTACTCAGATGCTCATCTCCCATATCCCAGCAGTGACTCTGCAGCCTTCCGATTTCGGATGTGAATATGAAGGGAAACCGTTCAGCTGAGCTGCTATATCAATGCTGGGAGTGGGACACACATACTTCTGCAGGGAACCGTCATACTAAGCTACTGCTACAGCTTGAAAGCAAACAATGAATTAAGCTTATATAAACAATGATTATATTCATTCTTTAAAAACAGAAAATATATATTTGTACATCAGTTTGAATTAATTTATTTATTGTCGGGTACATTCTAATAGCACATGGTTACAGTGTCCTCGATTTGAGCGCAGTGGTTCAGTCGTTGTCCATGTTCGGAGGAATAGATTAAATCTTCTGGTGATACACTTCAATACACGGCGGGTACGGTGAGTGCAGTTTTAGCGTCAAAGATATACTACAGAACTGTGTGATGAGTGGTTATCTACACCCATCAGGGTGGGGGAGGGGGAGGGGGGGTTTGAAGCTGTATATACTGCAAGAAAGGGGCAGAACGTCCCAAATCATAATACAAAGAAAAAAGGTGCATGGGTGTTGTAAAACCCGACAGCAGCGCTAAGAACCATGCCGTTCTTTGCATGCCGTGCGGGTTCAAGACAATAAACTGGTGGGAGTTAGCTTATGGTGACGCCAAAAAGGAGCCAAAACATCTCCCTTTAAAAAGAAAAAAATATTGAACAAATTAATTTAAACAGCTATGTACAACCATTGTCAGCACGTAGTTCCATGTTACAAACACACCGGGGGGGGAGACGACAGATCCACTCGTTTTCTTTAATGTCTGCTAATCAACGTCTTCCACGTTGCTGTAAGATGCCGCAGGTTCGGCCGAGGGAAAAAGATCTGCAACGGCTTCCGCGGTCACTTGGGAGGCGTCCTCAGAGTTTAGGTTTGGCCCATAAGCCATGGTGCCGACTCCCTAAGAACAAGCAGACAACAAATTAAATTAATACAGGCCATTGATCATCAATATACTCTACTGTATAAAAAGAGAAAGAGAGAGAGAGGAGGGGGGAGAGAGAGGTGGGGGGAGAGAGAGGAAGGGGAGGGTGGAGGAAGAGAGAGAGAGAGG